TTCCTGGAAGGCACCTGCCACTCCCCCTCCATCGGGTCAAGAACAGAAAGACACAAGTTTGCATCAACCAGAAAGTCAGCTTTATTAGCCCACCACCAGCAGAGGGATAGGGAGACAGCTGGGGGCCGCGCTGGGAAAACAGGGTCCTGACCCAGGCCTTCGGGAGGTCGGCCGGTGGGGGCAGGAGGCTGTGGTAGTAGGCAACTCAGTGTTTAGAGTGCTGGCTCTGGCTGAAACTGGACGAGCCCTGCTGCTCCTTGAGGATGGGGCGGGTCTGGCGGCCGGAGGAGAATGATGAGGAGGAGGAGGAAACTGTGGAGAGAGGAAAGGAGGTGAGCTGGACCCTGGGAGCTAAGGGAGAAGAGGGGTCTGGCACCCACCCCATGCAAACAGGCCAAGGGGCTGGAGTTCCCAGAAGCCTTACCTTCACGGGAAGAATAGGCTTGTCCAGACACGTGCTGGGAAGAGGAGAGGCTAAGGGGAGAAAAGGCAGAGCAGTTAGATGTGCTGGCAGCAGTGGGAAGGGGTTCTGGAAGGTCCGGGGGCAGTCCAGGGGGCCCCCACTCACTGGGAGTCCTCGCCCTCCAGCAGGCTGCGGTAGGTGGCGATCTCCTGCTCCAGCCGGGTCTTCACGTCCAGCAGGATCTGATACTCTTGACTCTGCTGCTCCATCTCACAGCGCAGCTGGGCCAGCTGCTCCTCCACACTGCTGATCAGGCCCTGGATCTGGGCCAGCTGCATGCAGTAGCGGCCTTTGGTCTCCTCCAGGCTGCTCTCCAGGGATGCTTTCTGTAAGTGGGATAGAGGGGGAAAAAGAGTCAACAGAAGGGTCACTCCATCACTCCGTGTCTCTGGGCATATTTCCTGAGAGGTGTGTGGAGTCTGACCATAGCTGGGCTGCTGATAGGCCAGACAATAGGGAGCAAAGTTATTGCACGTTCTGGGCCTTAGTTTCCCTGACTATTAAATGGGAACAACGATAGCTCCTGTCCCACTTCTGAGCGGAACAGTGAAACAAAAAAAGGAAGAGAGAAGTATGACTGAATTGAGGTGTTGAGAGTGTGCTGGCCACTACTGATGACCCGGGGGCTGGGGCAGGGCTGGTCCCTCCATACCATGCTGAGCTGGGACTGCAGCTCGATCTCCAGGCCCTGGAACACCCTCCGGAGCTCTGTCACCTCACTTCGGCTGCTCTGCACCAGTTCGCTGTTAGAGGCTACTTCTTTGTTCAGCTCTTCGGTCTGAGATAGGAAAGAAGAATGGGAGGTGTGAGGACCTCAGAGGCCTCATCAGCTGGAAAGTCCCAAGGAGGGCTGATGACCCGAGCCCTACCTTGCTCAGGAACCAGGCCTCAGCATCTCTGCGGTTCTTCTCTGCCATCTGCTCGTACTGGTCACGCATCTCGTTCAGGATACGACTCAGGTCCACACCTGGAGCTGCATCCATCTCCACGTTGACATCCCCACCGCTCTGACCCCGCAGGGCAAGCATCTCCTAAGAAGGGACAGCAAGAGATAGTCAGCTCAGCAGGCCCCATTCTGGCCCCAGGAGAGTCTTACAACACCCCCATTGCCAGTCTCCCACCCCTAGTGCCAACAGGGGCCTCACCTCCTCATGGTTCTTCTTCAGGTAGGCCAGCTCCTCCTTCAGGCCTTCGATCTGCATCTCCAGGTCAGTCCTGGCCAGGGTCAGCTCATCCAGCACCCTGCGCAGGCCGTTGATGTCGGCCTCCACAGTCTGGCGCAGGGCCAGCTCATGCTCATACCTAGGAGACAGAGGTCAGAGTATCAGGCTCCATTCCTGAGGCTTCTGAGGCTCCAGACCTGCTGGGCCCCCTTGGGTGGATGGCCCCACTCCCCGCCATGGTGGCTGCTCACTTGGTCCTGAAGTCATCGGCTGCCAGCCTGGCGTTGTCAATCTGCAGAATGGGCTGGGCATTCTCAATCGTGGCCTGGATGATCTGAGTGGGGATGGAGGGACAGGAGGCCTGGTCAGCCAAGGATCTCACTCTTTGAAGGCAAATAGCAGAGAGAGAGGAAAAAAGCCTCCCTAAATCTGGCCTGGCCTGGCTGGGAGGCCCTACACCCACCCAGCCACCTGAGGGGCCTACTCTACTCAGCTCAGGGTATGTAGATGATACCCCTACATCTCCCTCCATCTCTATTCTGGGCCTGAGGCTGAGGGTGCCATGCAAAGAACCCTCCAAGGGAATAAGAGGTTCCAGCTTCCAGCCCAACTCAGACACTTAGATGCTGAAAATGACCCTTAACAACTTCCCCAATTGGTCCTCAGTTTCCTTGTTTTTAAAATGAATATACTAGAAATCGGTTTCCTAAGTCCCCTGCAGCCCTGGCCTCTCTCAATGTTTCATCCACCAAAGTCACCCATCTGGCCAACCCACCTTGTTCCTCAGGTCCTCGATAGTCTGGAAGTAGGGGCTATAGTCTTTGACCTCGCTGGGCCGCTG